TACATATTTATTTAGGTTTATATAACTATATATATTTTTTTTTTTTACAATGTTTATTGAAGATGATTATTTTTCTTGCTCTTCAGATGATTATATTAGCGCCCAAAGTCATAATACTTCACTTTCAGATTCTGAACCTTTGGAAGATAAACTTCACGATGTATTTGATAATTATAACAAATTCCTTTCCTTAGTGCACATCAACGCGCAGAGCATTCCTGCTCACTACAATGATTTTCTTACATCTTTTAGCGCCGGCATAGTTGATTGTATTCTTGTGTCGGAAACCTGGCTGAAGCCTACTTTACCTTCTACTAGCTGTTCCATTCCGGGATATAAACTATTTCGTAATGACCGTGTCGGGTGTGGTGGAGGTGGTGTTGGCATTTACCTTCGTAGCCACATCATTGCTGATGTTGTTTGTTGCTCTCAGTCACTATACACGGGTTCCTTGGAACATTTATTTCTTTCAGTTGTAGTTCACCACAAAAAAATCCTGCTTGGCGTTTTATATAGCCCTAATGATAAAACAGAATATTTTGACGTCTTGGAAAGTACTTTTGAAAACTTGGTCCCCCTTTTTGACCATGTCATTGTAATGGGTGACTTAAACACGTGTCTCCTCAAAAATGACAGTCGAGCCGTCAGGTTGACAGCTTTGACGTCTGCGCTTGATCTCCAAGTGCTAAATACAAAGAAACCGACCCATTACTTTCCTAACTGTAGACCTTCCTTGCTAGATTTAATTATTGTCACTAACCCCAAACTGGTCATTTCGCATGGGCAGATGATTGCTCCCTTTTCACATCACGACTTAATTTATCTTTCTTACAAAGTGCGTCCACCTAAAGGTAAGGGAAAAGTCCTTCTTTTGCGAAATTTCAAGAATTTGAATCTGGATCGTTTGAGAGAAGATATGAGATGTATTGACTGGTCCGTATTGTTTTCGTCTGACAGTATTGACGTAATGGTTGATATCCTTAACACTGAGTTGGTGAAGGTTTATGACTCCCATGCTCCTGCTCGGCCTGTGCGTGTTAAACGTGCGCCGGCTCCTTGGCTTTCGCCTGAGATTAAAATAGTTATGGCAATGCGTGATAAAGCCAAATGCCGTCTAAAACGTGAACCCTCTTCAGCAAATCTAGACGCGTATAAGAAGTTACGCAATCTCAGCAATAGAATGTGTAGGGATGCCAAACGTCGCTACTTTCACTCTACCATACAAAATCTTTCCCAAGCTCAGGTGTGGAAATTTTTACATTCCGTAGGTGTTGGCAAGTCGTCCTTGGATGTTTGCCAAAACAACATAGATCTCGATACCCTGAACTCCCACTTTTCCACGCCGCCCACCATCCTTAACTCTCGCACTAAATCGAATACTCTAACTTTTCTGTCTAATCTTGCGTTACCTGATTGTCCCCCTTTCACTTTTAGTGCGGTCACTCACAGAGGATCTTGTAAAAAAGAGTATCCGCTCGATTTCCACTAAGGCCATTGGCAGTGACAATTTGAGCCTCGAAATGATTCTTCCCGTGCTGGAGGACATTGCGCCGGTTATTACTTACATCATAAATTTTTCTCTCTCGCGCTATGTCTTTCCAACTCAATGGAAAAAGGCTTTTGTCATACCTCTCCCTAAAATCCAGAATCCTACATCTTTTTCACAATACCGTCCTGTTTCCATTCTCCCCATTCTTTCTAAAGCCCTAGAATCCATTGTATATACACAACTTTATTCTCATCTTACCTCCTATAATTTTTTAAGTCCGTTTCAGTCTGGCTTTCGTCCATCTCATAGCACTATTGGAGCATTACTGAACATTACGGAGGACATACGTCGTGCTATGGATGAAACGAAACTCACTGCCATTGCCCTCTTGGATTTCAGCAACGCTTTTAACTCTGTTAACTTCGACATTCTTCTTGGTGCCCTTCAGGCTGTTAATATCCCCTCTCCTACTATAAGTTGGTTCTCTTCCTATCTTTTCGGTCGCCAGCAGAGCGTGAAAATCAATGATGGCTCGTCATCTTGGTCTAATAACTGCTGGTGTGCCCCAGGGTGGCGTACTCTCTCCTTTACTCTTTTCTATTTTTATTAATAATATTTCCCGTGTCATTTCTTCTCCCTTCCATTTATATGCTGATGATCTTCAGCTTTATCGTAATTTTGAAGTGGGCGAGGTAGCGGAGGCAATTGCGTCTATCAACTGTGATTTGTCTGCCATTCAGTTATGGGCCAAGTCATTTGGCCTTTTGGTTAATCCAGCCAAGTCTCAAGCAATGATTGTGGGCAGTAGCAGATTGAGGTCCAAGTTGGACTGGTCTTTGGTACCTCCTCTGGTATATGACGGAGTTCCAATTGCATATACTGACAAGGCTAAAAATCTCGGGTTAGTAATGGACTGCACCTTGTCTTGGACTTCTCATGTCAATGAGGTCAGCAGACGAATGTACTTCTCATATCATTCTCTCAAACGTCTCCAATACTTTCTTCCTTTTCACACCAAAATTATGCTTGCGCAAACTCTTTTACTCCCTATTCTTGACTATGCCGACGTTTGTTACTTGGATGCGACCGAAGACCTTTTAAACAAACTAGAGCGTCTACAGAACCTGGCTATCAGATTTATTTTCGGTCTCCGAAAATTTGATCACGTTTCCGAATTTCGTGCTCGGTTAAAATGGCTCCCAATCCGCCTTCGCCGTGATGTGCATATCCTGTCCACCCTTTTTAATATACTTCATGACCCAAATTCCCCTTCCTACCTACGTTCCCGGTTCCAACTGCTTCCCCCTCCTAGCCGCTCAAGGCGTCCGTGCATCACTAAGATGCTCGTTCGTCCTAGTTGTAAAACAAATTTCTTTTACAACTCCTTTTCCTCTCGTGCAGCGCAGCTGTGGAACAGACTCCCTTCCCATATTCAGTCTAGTCCGTCAATTGCTTCCTTCAAGAAAAGGTTGACAGCGCACTTTCTTGCTGAACTCTCTTAATAATCATCATATTTGTATATGTGTAAGTTTATTGATACAATGTATTATACGTTATGTAGTCTATTTATTTATATACTATTTAATTATTTAACGGTAATTTTATATATGCATATTTTATACATGTAGATTATCATCTTTTGTTATCTCTTTTGCACGCCGTTCCCCGCTTAAAACCTTTGCTCTCACTGCCTTGGGTTGGCTGGAAGAGATCTCTTTTAGAGATAAGTCCACCTTTGCTCACCTTATGTTATTTTTTTTTTGTTTCTGTTTATTTGTTTGGTGCAATAAAGAATATATATATACTTGTAGCACTTTTTAGTATTGTCATGTTACGGACACATCGAGTATAATACTCGATCTACGGACAGCATAGACAATTAACATTTAGGAGTCACTCAGGGAAGTATATTAGGGCCTAATTTATTTGTAACAGCTCAACTGGCCTATTAAATTATAGAATACAAATAAGTACAAGATTAAGAATTCCTCAGGGACACGTCGTAGGCCCTAATTTGTTTTGACAGCTGTACTAGCCTATTAAGTTGTGTGTCGAAATAAGTTTAAGATTAGGGAGTTCCTCAGGGCAATTTCGAAATATGTTAAAATTAGGAAGTTCCTTAGGGCAATTTATTGGACAATTATCGATAAACATGGCTACAGCATTCGAAATAGTCTAATTAAAAGTTGGTCGAAAATTAAAAAGTCTTAACTTTAGAAAGTAACTAGTTTTTATTATTCGTACTCGTAAGCGTTTGTCATTATACAAAATTAGTTTCTAAAAAGTGAGTTTCTCAGGGTAGCATATTGAGTCCAATTAAATGGAAGAAAGATAATATATTTCTGGTTATTTGGTCTCATGCATTGAACTTGGTCATAAAATATTACACGCAACTTGCCTCGCGATATCTTTCTTAGCCATATGAATAATAAACGATCTCGCATTGACTGCATCGATAAATAAATTTAAAAAATCAAAAGTGATTCAGACATAATGATTGACATTGAATAACTAACTGACGACACCTCCTCCGGTGCCAAAATGAAGCCAGTAGTAAAAAATAAACCTGTCAATACAGACACCTTGTCTTTAAATTTATTACCATTCACTCATAATGTCAGTTCAACTGTATCTCTATTTCTATCTCTTTCTTTCGTGCTTTTAATAGTATATGCCATCTGTGAATGTACAGTTGGTTTGTCGTATGATAATTTTAAATGTAATATCTCGATACGTGTATCTGTGTCACTCTTACATGTATATATATATTTTTGTCTTGTCTGTTTAATTGTATTAATAGTGGTGGGGGTATATACAAGTGTTTTGTCCTTTTCTGCTCTGCCTTGGTTAGTATCAACTTCATTCGATTTAGAGATGACACAGATGTCATCAGTTTGAATGTAGCTACACGATTAGAGGTCAGTTTGAACTCTAGGTTAGTAGGTTTGGTTTATTTTCGATTTCACTTGCAAACGATACGATTCTTTTTTTTATTGATTTTTTTTAAACGGTTGGTCGGACAATATGAAATTTTACCTGGTCTATAAAAATCAGTGAGTGTTTTATCTGTTTGAAATGAGTTGTGAGTGTAAAAGTGACGTGTCTTTACTGGCGATTGTTATACATAGATATTATTGGAACGACGGTGTAAATAAAAATTAATTTTATTTATTATCACTAATCATTACGATAAATGCGCTAATAGGTCATAAGATTTGCTACATAACCTCTTTTGCTTGCATTTTTTCCTATTTAAAACCAATCATTCGCTTATTGCATTGGATATGTAAATATTCATTCCATTCGCCTAATTTAGTTTGATATTCTTCTTACTTTTTGGCCTGAATACCTTTTCAAACTTTTGTCTATAATATCATTGCTTTCACTCGTATCGTATAAAGAATCTTCATAACACTGTTAACACAGGTCTAGAACCTACAATAGTTTTATGATGGTTTAATTATTGTTTGCTTGTAGTACAACCAATTTGTATTTTTGTTTTGTTTTTTAAGAAAACAAGTGCTGCTGTACTTAATATGAATAAAGTTTTATTATTATTATTATTATTATTATCTTTTTCATTCATATGTAATTGAAGCTTATTTTCAAATTACCAATTTATTTTCGCTTAAACGTACAAATTGCTATTTTTTTAATCATTTTCCGTTTTCATTCTCTCTTAAGTGAAAAGCCTATCATTGCTTTAAAATATAGTTTTATTCGATTTAACATTTAAACTGTTATGTCAAGTGTTTTTGTTTAAAAATGGTTGACTGTTGTGGTTGTGTTGTTTTTATTCCAATTTTTGATAAAGACTCCTTTTTGTATAAAAACAAAGATGTTCCATATGTAATTCCTAAATTTTAATGACTAAGATGCTTCAAGTTCTTTAAATGTAAGTCGAGTAATTTTTGAACCTACCATATAAGTACTTGTTTACCTACCATAAAACGTAACTTTCTTGTCCGTAGTGGCCTCTACGACCCAGTGCTCGACGATTACGAGCCATTATACGAGCCAATAGACCAGGAGGATTCCGACCAACCATCGCTACCGACTGAGGTACCAGACCCTAGCACAGACATATGTCCAGAACTTAATAACCTCTTACAACCTATACACTTTAATGGCATCGATCCTACGTCCTTAGGTCCTGATGATTTTGACAAATCCTTTTCCAGGTCTTTGACTGCGTCTCCTTATGTAGGTCAGGCGAAACCTTTTAGGCCTTTTTCCACTGAGCCTCAGGAAATTCCTCCTTTAGAAGAACCGATTATATTAAATCCAGATTATCATGATGTTTTTAAGGCATTTGGTATTGATGACGATTATTTGCCGAAGACAAGATTTAAATTGCCAATTTCGGAGCAATATGATCCGGACCGTTCGAAACAAAAGATGAAAATTGGTAAAGAGGTGTGTGAAAATGTAGAGAGCCATGTGAAAGAAATAACAGAAACTATCGTTAAGCAAGAAGCAACCCTTACAGAGGAAATGAAGAAAGAAGTTGATTTAAAAACAATTGAAAAAACAGCTACGAGCATTGTAAAAGATAGTTTAGAAAAAGCTGTAACCGTTGCTGAGGAAATTAAAAGAGAAATTGACGTTGAGTTGCATGAAGTATCTCTGAATAGTTCTGAAATTGTTGAATCTAGTACAAAATGTGATATTACTGCTACAACTACAGAAATTGTTGATTCCAACTCAGTTACTGCAACCGTGGTTGATAAACTCGAAGATAAAAGTATAATTGAATCTAAACAAGAATCTGTAAATATAGAGTTTAAAGACGCCGCCAAAGAAGTAAGTGAGCTAGTAAATTTAATTGATAAAACCACTGAACAGATTACAAATCAAAATGAAAGTTATGTTGAAATAAGTGAAATAAAACAGTTAGGAGAAGAAAAACAAGACATTGTAGTTGGATATAAAGATATAACTGAAACGGACAAAATGGTTTCAATTTCCCAAAAAGATACTGAAAAAGGAGACACTTTTGTTGAAAAGATAACTGAGGAAGCTAAAGTGGATAAACTAAAAATACAGGAGTCTAGTTTTAAAGCAGAAGATATTCAACATAAAGTTACGATGGATACAAAGACAGAAGATAGTAAAACCAGTGAAAGACGATCTACTTCTACATTTCAAGCAGAGCAAAGAGCTTATACTATTGGCTTACAAACAATTCCAAACATCAGAGGTACAGTGCATTCCTCTTACCATTATAATTTACTTTTGAAAACTTTCTTCATACATTTGACAGATGTAATGGTTGCTTTATCTAGATTTATTCTTTCTGAACCTGTATTCGATAAGGAGGTAAAAGAAGAAAAAGTACAGAAAGAAACGAAAAATTTAGTTACTGAGGCTACAGCTAAAAAAGATAAAGCTACTGAAATTGTAGCTAAATCTGAAAAGCTAGCTAAACGTGAAATAGCTACAGATGAAAGGATTATACAAAAAGAAAAAATGAAAAACGAAAAAAGAATAGAAACTGTTACGGAACAAAAACTTCAACAAGTTGAAATGAAGGACACTCCTCAGATTAAACAAGAAACACAGTATGAAAATGAGACAGTGCAAGATACGTATGAAAAACTTAATGTAGAGGAATTGGAAGAGAGACGCAAATTATCGGGTTCTAGAATGGCTCAACTAGTGGAGAAGAAATCTGAAGAATTAACACATAAAATGGATGCTGTTATTACTGAATTCCAAACCAAAGCTGGGATAGAAGAAACAACGTTAGTTCAAGTAGGATCTAGTAGCCGTAGTGGACAGGAAGAAACTATACAAGAGAGCGCCGCTGCTCTAGGATTATTATCTAAAGTCGATTTCAGAAAAACTGAAGAACAATCTAAAACTGAAATATCTGAAATAACATCTAATGCAGAAACCATTGTGATGGAAACTAGAAAATCTAAAGAAAGGTCAAAATCTAGCGATCGAAACACTTACATAGCAATTGTAGAGGCTCATGTTTATACTAATAAAAACGCTATTCTTGATGAACAATTAAGAGATTTCTCCGAGACTTCATCTGTCATTAGTGCAGATGAGGTTAATATCGCGATAGAAGCAAATGAAGCTTTAAGCACAGAAAAAGTAGCTTTGGAGAACGTGGAAATGAACACGGAGATAGCAAAGGCTGTTGTTGAGGAACAACAACTTATTGCTGCTAAAAACGAGGAGACATTTAAAGTACCTGAAGAAATACAAACAGTTGTACCTAAAAAACTGGAAACCGTTAAAGCTGTCCAAAAACCAAAAATTGTTGCGACCAAAAAAGTTGAAATAAAAGCTGTTGAACAAAAAACAGAAGAAAAAGAATTTAAAGAACAAATACAGAAATCTGAAATCAAAACTGTTGCAAAACAAGGAATTATTCAGAAGAAGTTATTCCAACCTGAAATTAAACCAAAAGTGAAAGAAGAAGTTATTCCGAAGACATTAACCCAACCGGAAATTAAATCAAAAGAAAAACAAGGAGTTATTCAAAAGAAGTTATTCCAACCGTTTGTAAATAAGAAAGATAAAGAAGAAATGCAGACGGTTGCTTTGGAGAAAACTTCGGTGTCACAATCTGAAGTGGTTAAAAAAGAAATATCAGCAGAAATGGCAATAACAAAGGAAGAATCTGCTAGTATTAAAAAAGAAGTAAGTAAAACTGAGACAGCCGTAAAAGTTGAAGAATCTACTGAATCAATACAAACCGCCGTTTTTAAAGGAGTCAGTGAGGTAAGGTCAGATGCCAAAGAGGAAGTTTTAATCATAGGTGAAGTGAAGGCAGTTACTGATGAAACTTCACATGCCATTGCTCATACAGAGATCATGAAACAAAAACAAGAAACATCAGTTCTTCAATTAGCTGCAGATGACGATTCGAAATTAGCTAAAATGACTGAAACACACAAAGACATAAAGAACGAAATGGAAATAAATGGTTCTAAACTAGTATTTGAAACTGAAACAAAAATAGATCAAGAATCAACATTTGTCGCTAAAACTGTAGAAAAAGAAGCGGATAAACAACAGAAATTAATGCTACAGACAGATCTACCTAAAGAGAAATCTGATGAAAATAATAATACACCAACCCCAACATCGACTGTACCCCCAACTCCTCTAACAGACGAATATATATTCAAACTAGAAATACCCCTACCAAAACGCAGCGGAACTCCCATACCCCGTGACTGTACTCCTACTCCCGAAGACGAAGATCCCAATATCGTTAAGAAGAAATTCTTGCCATATATTGATACTAAAATTGAGGATGAGATCAAATATGATCCTCCATTAAAATCACCTCCAACTTCTCCCAAGTACACTAAACCAGGACTACGAGGTGGTGCTGATAAGCCAGAGTATACCAAGGTATGTTGACTTATTATTTTTACCTATAGTTGATAGTACAATTGGGGGTATGCACTGATTAGTATACGGTGTGAAAACACGATTTCTAAAAATTTTCTAGATAGAAAAAAACTAATACTTACCTCGAAATTTCAGAAGAAAACTGCTGTATTCAATACGCACTTTACACATACCAATGATTTTTAACCGACTTCAAAAAAGGAGGAGGTTCTCAATTCGACTGTATGTTCTTTTTTTTTCTTTTTTTTTGTATGTATGTTACGCGATAACTCCGTCATTTGTGAACCGATTTTCATGATTCTTTTTTTGTTGGAAAGGGGGTACTTCCATAGTGGTCCCATTTCATTTTGAAGAAAATCATCCACCGCGAAGGATGGCTGTTCACGTATGAAGATTAACTTTTATAAATAGCGCCTAACTTTAATTTAGGAGCAATTACTTTAATATTTGATTTTGCTATTTCTTCCATTCAAGGCGTTTTTCTCTCAATATACTTTGAGTAGTGTCGTAGTGAGAACCTATTTTTATTATCTCCAGCGTCAAGTCCTGTATAGTGGCGAACTAGGGGATATTTCAATAAAACTTAGCAAATAGACGTAATTCCACGTACTTTTGAGGTCGGTTTTTTTAGTACTCTGTACTGAGATTATTTAATATCAATTCAACTAAATTGAACACGATATACGTTTGTCAAATGGCTTTATTTGTGAAAAGATAAATTCTGAAATATAGCCAGTGTCACAGCCGCTCGACCCGCACAATTCAGTACGGGAAAAATTTGAATTCCAGCTGAGGTAGTATCGATTCTTATGGCGAGTCTCAGAGCAGTAATGCCAGGCAGTAATGTTTTGCTGCTTTTGGCAATATTTTTTATGTGTAGTGAGATTCTATTAGCAGAGATGGACAGTGTGACAGATGGACTGTCCATCTCTGGGTTTAACTGGGTTTTGCTCAAAGGTTTTAATCCATTTTTACTCAAAATCGTGGGCTGAAACGGCGAATATTGTCTTTGGTATAATTCCATTATCGTCATATACAGCCTGACTTCACCCACTTGCTACAATACTTACTACAAATATCTTTTTTAGACAAAAATAAGACAACTCCGCACAATACCTTGCAATCATATGAATTCTCATTACTAAGGACGCATGCACATTATGATTCGATTTTAATGAGAAGTGCATATGATATGAGAATATTTTGTATCGATTTATTTCAATGCTATTTCCAAGTGAATTGATTCAATAAACAGACAAGTCGAATCGTCTAGATCGAAAAACATTTTTAATAATATCATTACATTTGATCAAAACTCGATTTAGAACAAACATTTGGTTGTAAATAGTTTTTGCCCTCAATTTTGGGTTTTAACCCAATTTAAACCAAAGCAGCGTTAACCCAGACGCTTGCTCATCTCTATCTTTGAGTGATTCTTGTGTATATTCTTGTGTATATACCTTACAATATATTTTTCGGGTTGTAGAATATTGGGAGTTACGGTAACAACTTTAAAAAATGTTGATTCTAGACTGGGTGTTTTGAGTAATTGAGTGCCCAGAATAAAACTGTTGTTCTGTTGTATAATGTGAATACACACTAACATATCTCCTTTATACTAAATAGGAAGAAATACTGGAAATTGAAAGAAAATCATCACTTCTTGCAACAGCCATTGACCAGACAATAAAAAGTATAGAAGAATATAAAGAAGAAGTAGGTATTAAAGAACAAGCACCCGACAACAACGTTGAAAGAGTAGAAGTTACAAACGAATCCAACGGGGTTGTTTACAACGGTTACGCTAAAATTGTAGAAACAACATTTTATGATACAAATTTGAATACCACAAACAATACTATAACAGATACAACTGTGCCTAAAATTGAAATGAACGGAACTAACATGAATTCCAAACAAGATACTGTAATAGAAGTTGCCACTACAGTGCAAGATACTAGCGTAGTAGAAGGTACTACACAAAAAATTGAAGATTCTCGAGACTCAATAGAAGGATACAGGCAAGTTACTTTCAATCCAGACGAATTGCAAGATGTTATACAGGAACAAAGACAGGCGAGGATAGCTGGTATTCCGGTGAGTAGTTAAATAATTATTTATTAGACATGGTAGCGTACTCTGATACGTTTGTGAATGACGATGTTGACTGAACAGTAACTGTATTTTGTCTATGTTTATCTGACAATTTAATCAATGTTTTTCAGATTTTATCTCAAAGCCAAGAACGAGAATTGTATAAAAGTGCATCTGGAGAATTGCTAGGTACAGTACATGGCATTGTCGATGGATTGGAAGAAGCTGTGGTGGAGCCTAAGATTGCTGGTTAGTATTTTTAATAAACCTTTACTTCATTATTGTAAAACCAAACTTATTTAAAGTTATAATCGCTGCAGAATACGCAAGACGTATAAGCAATTTAATGGTACAATTAAAGTGTTACTAAGTTCATCGAATCTCATGGAGAAAGAAAGATCTCGCAAATTTTCCCCAAAATGTGAATTTTATGTTGACCAAAACTTTTGTGCATGTAGATAGTTTTACAAGCTTTCCAACGAAGTTACCGTCTTGGCCACGGAAGAAAAAAACAATGGAAGAGCCTCGATTTTGTAATCTGATAGATCAGAACTGCTGTCACCAAAACACACACTGTCTTAATGTTAAATACTAAGAAATCTCAATAAAAACTGTCAGTGGACTGTTAGTATAATTTAAACTTTACCCTCTAGACTCGCTGAAAATTCAATACCTATTATTGCAAGTTACGATATTTTGATTTTATATAGAAATTTCATTAAATGTACTGCCATCTAGCGGTCAACAGCTGAAAGGCTACGAGTAGCGTGGAAAATTCGGGATGTTTACTTAGTTCCCCAAAAAAGTCGATCATGTTCCAGCGGTATAAAATTTACTTTCGTTTCTTTTACAAAAAATCTATTGCGATAAATAGAAAACTACATTTTTTTAATTCAGTAAATAAAATAAAACTTAACGTAAGGATGACATGAAACACCACAGCGAGTGTCGTTTTTGCACTCTAAAGTAGCAAAATAAGGCATTTTTCAACGACTTTCTAGGTTTAATTGACGCGACCATAACGAAAATGGCCGACAGATCTCAAGTTTGTGGAACTCAGCTAACTGTTCGCACACGTAACACACCCTCTTAGGCTCAACACTCACTGGCGCAGAGTCGGAACGTCGACGCTCGCATTAGCGCGCCCGAATCACAGTGTGGTCGACTTGCGAAGGATCGCGTCGTTGCGCATCTACGCGCGATTCCATATTTACATAACACAAATTTGAACCTTAATAATGGGAAAATCGAGATGAATATCTTATAAGCGAAATATGACGCGTAGCGACGCTTCAACCAGTGTCAGAACATAACTGTCAGAACATAACTTTACACAACTCATTACACGCCCCACTCGCAAC